GAGACGGAATAACTAATGTAGGTGAATTCAATCAGTCGGCTGTTTGATTCAAATGTTAAGAATTTTTCATTTTTTTCTCCAGTCACTCAATCACTCCTGAATTCGATTAAATGATTGAGTATGCATTCGTGAAATTAATCTTCAAGCGAGCAACAAAAATTCATCGGTACCTCCACGATTCTTCACTCCATAGGTTATTTTTCCTCAACTATCGATACTTTCCATGTGATATGAGGTTAGATTCATCTCGAAGATGGCTATTACAACCGCACAAATGAGAACATGCAATCACTCTAGTCAATATTGCACGAATTGACTTCGTTGTGTATTCTAATAATGGACATAATCTCAATGAACATTGCTGCTTTTAAACAAATATCCAGTGATAAATATGGTATTTGTGGTAATTATGTCGCTAATAAATGGGAGAAAATATTAAATATCATCACTTACCCTATTGCCGTTATTCATCTCAGTACCATAATTGATGCATGAATAAATTACGAAGTAACCCCATAGACCAGCCGATCTCACAGACTTTGTGACCTGCCGCCAGTTCTTGACCAATCTTTTTAAAGAAGATTATGGAATGAATGGAATGAAGTAGGAATTTTTATCATAAGGTCCATAAAGTATTTTCTGATGAATGTCATTATACGCCTTCGGCTCGAACTATTAACCCACATTCGTAAAAAAATACCGTCTGGACCGTGTGATGAATGTAATTTTTCCTCACTGCTGAGCCCGAAAACCGCGATTGAACCGAGCCAAGCGAGAAAAAAAATTTCACTCACTTGCATAGGAGTATTAAGAAACCAGAACGTCGATCGAATGATGTCTCCTCCTTACTGAACCTTATACTTGCCCTCATTCTGACCGTCATAGCGACTCTTCATTTGGCCCTGACTTTTTCATTTATTCACACTCTTACTTTGGTCCTTATGTCGACACTTATTTTGGCTCTTATACCGACCCTTTTTCTGGCGCTTATTTTGACTCTAATTTTGGGCCGTATTCCAATTCTCATTTTGGCCCTTATTCCAACCCCCATTTTGATTCTTATTCCTATCCTTATTTTGACCTTGATTTTGGCCCTTATTACGACTCTCATTTTGACCCTCATTCCGACACTCATTTTGGCCCTTATACCAACCCTTATTCTGACTCTGATTTTTGCCCTTATTCAGACCCTCACTTTGGCCCTCATTGCAACACGTATTTTGGCTCTTATACCGGCCCTTATCTTGGCCCTTATATTGACCCTCATTGTAGCCCGTATTCCAACCCTCATTTTGGCCAGAATTTCGACGCTCATTTTGACCCTTATCCTGACCCTCATTTCGGCCCTTATGCCAATCCTTATTTAAGCCGTCATTTTGACCCTTTGTTTCTTATACTGACCCTCATTCTGACTCTGATTTTGGCCCTTATTTTGACACTCATTTTGGCCCTCATTTCAACATTCATTGTAGCCTCTATACCGAGCTCCATTTTGACCCTCGTACACACTCTTGTTCCAATCCCTATTTTGGCCCTTACTCTGACCCTCATACCAACTCCTATTTTGGCCCGTATTTGGACACTCATTCTGGCCCTTATACCGTGCCCCATTTTGGACCTCATCGCGACCCTCATTTTGGGCTTTATTCCAACTCCTACTTTGGCCATTATTCGTGCCCTCATTTTGACACTTATACCGACTTTTATTTTGGCCCTGATTGTGATTTTAATTTTGACCCTTAATCCGGCTCTCATTTTGACCCTTATTCCGTCACTCATTTTGGCCCTGATATTGATCCCGATTTTGGCCCTCTTTCCCACCTTTATGTTGACCCTTATACCGACCCCTACTTTAGCCCTCATACCGACACCCATTTTGGCGCATATTCTGACCCTTATTTTAGCCTTTATAACACCCCTTATTTTGGCCCCTATTCTAACTATAATTTTGGCCATTATTACGACCCTTGTTTGGCCCTTATTCCAGCCTCATTTGGCGCTTACTCTGACCCTCATTTTAGCACTCATACCAACGCCCATTTTGGCTCTCATACAGACCTTTTTTTCAACCCTTATTTTGGCCCTTATTCTGACCCCCATTTTGGCCCCTATTCTGACTATAATTTTGGCCCTTATACCGACCCCTATTTTGACTTCTATTCTGACCCTCATTTTGGTCCTTCTAACGACCCCTATTTTGGCCCTCATACAGACCCTTATTCCAACCCTTATTTTGGCGCTTATTCTGATCCCCATTTAGGCCCTCATAGTGACCCTCATTTTGGTCCTTCTAACGACCCCTATTTTGGCCCTCATACAGACCCTTATTCCAACCCTTATTTTGGCGCTTATTCTGATCCCCATTTAGGCCCTCATAGTGACCCTCATTTTGGCACTTATTTCAACCCTCATTTTGGAACTTATTTCAACCCCTATTTTGACCCCTATTTTGGCCCTTATACTGACCTCCATTTTGGCCCTCATACAGACCCTTATTCCAACACGTATTCTGACCCCGATTTTGACTCTTATTGTGGCCCTTAAACTGACCCCCATTTTAGCCCTCATACTGACCCTTATTTTGCCACTTATTCTAACCCTCATTTTGGCCTTTATATGAGCCCTTATTGTGGCCCTTATTCTGACTCTCACTTTGGCTCTCAATTTTTCCTTTATTCTGACCTTTATTCTATCCCTCATTTTGGCCCTCATAAGGACACTGATTTTGGCCCTTATTTCAACATTCATTTTGGCCCTCATACCAATCCCTATTTTGGCCCTTATTTTGACTCTTATACCCCCCTTACTTTGGCCCTTATACCGACCCTTATTTTTGCCATTATACCGACCCCTATTTTGGCCCTTATACCGACATCCATTTTGGCCCTAATTCCGACCCTCATTTTCACCCTTCTTCTGGCCCTTATTTCGGCTCTTATACTGACCTTTATTCCGGCCCCCATTTTGGCCCTCACTCTCACATTTTGACTCTCACTTTGGCCCTTATTTCAATACTCATTTTGGCCCTTATTCAAACCGCTATTTTGGCCCTTATACCCACTCTCATTTTGGCCCTTATACCGACCCTTATTTCGGCCCCATACTGACCCTCATTCTGACCTTTATTGGGACCCATAATCTGGCCCTCATTGCTACTCTTACTTTGACTCCCATGCCTACCCTTATCATGACACTCATCCTGATCCTTATTCTGTGACCATAATTTCGAGTCCTATCGTCAAGAGTTGATCTGGACTTTTGCCTCTAATTAATTTTCAACTCAAACATCAATTCATTATAATTTATTGCGCATTGGATGCATTGGATTCATCAGCGGGGGATTCACATTCGATCCTCATTTTTTCGGGTTCAAAAAACCATTCAAAATTCGGTGTCATTCCAATCTACATACTGCATAACCAATGACTCAATCACTGATTGAGGATACATGAAAACATCCCTCCATCGTCTAGTAATATTGCCAATACCGCAACTGCCTTCACGTCACTAGCCTCTCCATAACTAGATGCGCTGTTGTCATAAGCTCTACTCCCCTCTCTACTCACTCCGTCGCGGCAAAATACGCGCTCCCAATTGGTCCAGCTTAAACGTCAATAATTTAAAAACTAGTTAATTCATAATTTTTTTCGCATTTTTTCCGTATTTAGGGGGCTCGAATCTATCGCTGGACGAGAGGTAATTGGATCATTTAGAAACACTCTGTATCTCACGCTGCCCTGTCTGCATCCGACATCGAGGGCGACAGGCCCAGCAGCAAATGGGCCAACTGCCTANTATTTAGGGGGCTCGAATCTATCGCTGGACGAGAGGTAATTGGATCATTTAGAAACACTCTGTATCTCACGCTGCCCTGTCTGCATCCGACATCGAGGGCGACAGGCCCAGCAGCTAATGGGCCAACTGCCTACAGTGAGAATATCACCTTCACGAGCATTTCTCCATACGGGGGTGGACTATGCTGGCCCATTCCCTATTCTCAAATGGCGACCCACAAATGCCCAACCATCTAGCGTTCATATTGCAGTATTTGTGTGTTTCAGTATATCAGCAGTCCATTTAGAGCTCGTTTCCAGGCAGACAACAGACGCATTCATCGAAGCCTACAAGAGATTCACCGGAAGGAGAGGTATCCCCGAGGTTATGTACAGTGACAACGCAACCACGTTCGTTGGCGCCTCAACAGTCCTCAACAAGTTGTACAACCAGCCATCCAGAGAGAATCAACAGATCCAGGCTGCTCTCGCCACCAACGGGACTCAATGGAGCTTTTCACCACCGAGAGCACCTCGTTTCGGTGGCAAATGGGAGGCAGCTGTCACATCAACGAATTATCATCTCAAAAGAGTACTTGGTTCGACGACATTCACCTACGAAAAACTCAACAGCATCCTGATCCAGATAGAGGCCTGCCTCAATTCCAGGCCAATCGCACCGATGTCAGATGACCCAGAAGACCTCCAAGCACTCACCCCAGGTCATTTCCTGATCGGTGAGCCTCTACAGGTGATTCTAGAGCCATCAATCATCAATGAGAACCCCAGCAAGTTGCAGAGATAGAATCTGATTACCCAGAAAATACAACAATTCTGGTCCAGGTGGTCTAGAGAGTGTCTTCAAAGGAACCAAGCTATCTACAAGTGGAATCAACGACGAGAGAACATCGAAGTTGGAGACATCCTGACGGCCGACGAGGACTATCCACCAGCAAAATGGCCACTCAGTAGAGTAGTGGCAGTTCACCTAGGAGAAGAGGCCCTCACAAGAGTTACAACCATCAAAACATCACGAGCAGTAGTACCAACTCGACCAGATGGTACCCCAACATCAAGAGAATCACCAGTACCAGCATGACATGATTCGTCAGACCCATCACCAAGCTCTGTATCCTACCGACAGACCCTCCACCAGCAGAACATCCCCCAGAAGACGATCCCGAGCCAGTCAACGAGTAATTATCGCAGAGAAGCAGCAGCAGAGAAATTCAACGCACAATTCATCATCCCTGATGATGAATGGCCCCCGGGATATTTGAAATTCAGCTATTCAAACTAGTCAACCGGTCACCGGGCTCAACAAAAATCTCGAGAAACTTCGGGACCTTTCGGGGTCACGGTCAGCTATGAACAAAATCCTCGAAATAGTGAGTAGTATTGTGCTAGACACCGAAAGAGTCACTCTAATCACAGTAATGTACATTTAAGTCTAGCGCTTCGTACAGCATCTCTATTTAATTCAATTCAATTATCAATTAATTCCGAGTTAACTATCAACTATTTGGAATCAATCATCAAGTTTAAAATCGAGAGAATCTCAAGTGCAGTGCATTTTTCAAATTATCATTTAATTGACTTTTTCGAGCAAATCAACAGTGTAACATTATTAATTGATCAAGACGCGTGGGTTATTCCACAATAAAGTACATCAACAGTGTGGTTTTATAATTCCGCGCGTTTTAATTTTCCACATCCTTCCACAATTCTACTATTCCCCAACCGGCATCTCAATTTAGCTTCCATCTCAAACAAGTTTTTTTTGCAAAATGCTGTAAACCCATTTGTTTACGAGACAATTGCAAAAATATTCTTTTTCAGCAAAATTCCACCAAAATAAAAAAATCAGAGCTCTGGGGATTCCGTAAACAATTAATAATTATTAATTGTTTACTCAAAGCGAGAGAGGAAAGAATCTTTTTTTTCTCTTTCGTAATCCCCTCCAAAAACATAATAAGAGCGACAGAGAAGTATCGTTCCTTCTCTTTCTCGCTCACGAGTGGAAGGGGTATCACGCACACTGATGCGCACAGCCACATGGACGTACAGTTGCTGAACACTGTAGCACCATTGGCTGACCTTCTCCCCCTAATAACTCCTCAGGGGTGCTTCTGATCAAAAAGTGGAAAGACTTTTCTGTTCAAAATCACCTCGTGAAACTGCCGGTTTCGGATCGGCATGTACTTCAGGGACACCCTGTATATTATCTTTGAATTTCGATAAAATGCTGCCAGAACAATTTCATCTGTACATAATTGGATGAATTTTAAACATCACCTGTGAGAAAACCAATCAGAAAGCTCACTTTCAGTGAAAATCATGCAAAATTCGAAATTTTCAAAAATCATCATAAAAATCAGATCAACCGCGATAGCCATTGTCATACAAACATTTTGAGCTAGGCTTGAATTCATTTGGAGCATAATATTCGAAGATATCCCCAGAATTCCCATTTTCAAAAAAAAAAAAAATTTAAACTATCAGATAAATCAAAAGAACAATTATTGCTGTTACCTTCATCTTCGAACTCGGTCAAAAGAACATACATACAAATTTTTTTAGCCAGCATTTAATGAATTTACAACCGATTTTTGGAAAAAATCAAAAATTAAAAAAAAATCGATGAATTTAATATTGATTAACGGTGATGGGGCTCAACAATACCTACATTAAAAAAAAAAGATTCAATTCCATCGATTCATTGGTGAGAAATTAAAGGAAAAGTCTGAACAACACATACGTACTGACGAGGTCTGAAAGTTGCATTTTCGGACTTTCTGAATCAAATAAGTTGATATCATAAAAAATCGAGAACAGAATTGAAAACTTAAATTTGAACGATTACAATGCTTCCATGCGGAAGCAAAAAAAATGCAATTCCATAGACAGGTAAATTGTTTTTTAAGAGACAGATAATAATTATGAGATTGAATTCGATAGGGAGAAAAAAAAATTTTCCATCGAAAAAATTATTTTAAAAATGATAAAAAAAAAAAAAATTGTAAATTTTTTTTTTCTTTATATATAGGGGAAACAACTCAAAATCCCAATATTTTTGTTTATAAATAAAGATATGAAGAATTAAAGTAGATCACAAACGTTCCATTTTTGCCCCACTCTCCCCCATATGTATACATGAAGAAAAAAAAACGAAAATGCCTCAATCGCACTTAAATTATCAAATAAAATATGAGTAACCAGTATGGAAGTACACTGGATTCCAAACTAAATTAAAATCTAACAATATATTTACCTGCATTTTCTTGACTGCAATTAATTTTCATGGAAAAATAGAATTTTTATTTATTTTTGTTCTTTTCATCTCAAAGTTCAGAAAGTTTACCAACCAAAACTTATTTTTATTTCCGTCGCTCTCAGGAATTCAGAGGTGAAATGAAGCGAAAAACAAACTTTTGTGGTCCAAGAACAAATAGTTTTTCGAAAATATCTCAGAATCAAAAGGATACAGGGAAATTTTTCTTAATATTATGTTTGGTGAGGAACTAGATTTAGGGTGGATTGGGAGGTTAGAGGATCGTCGATGTGAAATAATGGTTGAGAGTCTTGACCTAATATCAACGGGCATTTATTCTCGAGTCGAACCACGCTTTGTCAAATTTACAAAAACACCTTGTTACTTGTTGATCGTACTGAATTGAATTAATTGTCTATAGTTTTAGCACTGTGAGTCACTGGTTGAATGGTCAACAAATAACGTGATTTTCTTTTACTGAATTTCTATCGCCGAGTTAATGTGAATGCCTGTGTTGTGAATGCCTGTGTGAGTAGCCTGTGACTTTCTTATGCGTTTGATCGCATTAAATTCTAATAATTCCTGGTCTCTGGTCTGTAGTGATGCTCTGTTACTTGCTCCTTTGAAGATTTCGATACTGTAGTTAAGGTAATCTTCGTTAAACAAGTTGATTAATTGAGCCGTTTTACCTTCAATTAATCTATGTGTTGACCAACGTCTTCATGATTTCAGGATTGACAAGTGACCCGCCGTGATCGTCAATCCCTCTGCTGTTATTGATTAAACCAGTCTGTATATAATTTGAGTCGGCTTTTTGGAGATCTTAGAAGCCGACCTTAACTGATTTTGTGATATTATTACCCAGAATAATCTTGCTTCGCTGAGTTCTCTTGTTGACAGGACTGGTCCCGGGGGCGTCGGCAGTCTTCTGAATCTGCCGATTGCCCTGTTGATTTTTGGTAGCTCCATTATAAATGTGGGTGATGCTCTCCACTCTGAACTTTAGTTGCCTCAGTTGAATCTCGTGATGCACTGTGAGACCTGCAGCTGGTAGCTCTATCACCTCAAAGTATCTCGTCGTGATGTTCTGAATTCGTTGAGTACTCGCGATGTTGGCTTCATCTTCAGTCTCGCTGATTACAACTTTCGGAATTGTTGATGGTGGAGGTTCGTTGTGCTGCTGAGCCTCTAGTATCTTGTTGATTATCTAAAGCTTGATTTTCAATTACGGTATCTGTATCAGACATGATGATGTAATTGAAAGTCTACTTGCGTGAGAATTCCTCGTTGAGTGGCTTTGGATGTCGGTCATGTATCGACTGTCGATGGGTTACCGACCGTTGACGTACTGTGTTGTGTCGGTAAGGCGTCGCTTGGAAGGTCGCCTGCTGCTGAGCGCACTGGCCCGGCGTTGAGGTCCTTCGGCGTCACTCGTAAATCCCGAACTCTCACGAACCTTTTCACTACTTTGAGACGCTGATGTTTACACTTCGGATTACCGCCAAGAGAAAACAATAGCACAAATACTCTTTGTCTGTTGAGACTCTGTCCGTTGACCGACTCGTGTGGACCCCGAAAGTTCGTTACACGAGGCATCCTTTTAAAATTCACCCGAATTCGATCACACTAATTACTCCCAAATCCGGCTCGAAGGACCAATGTTTGGTGAGGAACTAGATTTAGGGTGGATTGGGAGGTTAGAGGATCGTCGGTGTCAAATAATGGTTGAGAGTCTTGACCTAATATCAACGTGCATTTATTCTCGAGTCGAACCACGGTTTGTCAAATTTACAAAATCACCTTGTCACTTGTTGATCGTACTGAATTGAATTAATTGTCTATAGTTTTAGCACTGTGAATCACTGGTTGAATGGTCAATAAATAACGTGATTTTCTTTTACTGAATTTCTATCGCCGAGTTAATAGACGCTAATGTAGTGTGGTCTAAACTCTACACAGCTGAATTCCATTCAAAACTTGCTATACGACAGACCGTGATGTACTGACTCGCGTTGATTTACGGTGACTCTATTAGACCTGAGCGTTGACGCGGAAAAGGCCGATGATTTTCGTAATTGGCTGAGCTGATCGACCTTGGTCTTGGAGAGGTTGAGTTACGTTTCAAACATATTATCTTTATAGAGCAGAATGGGATCTAAAAAAAGCTTCGATAAAAATTTCTCCATCTACTCCAGATTCAAAGATATTCATCAAAGAATTATCTCCAATTCAGCTGCCAATTATTTTTGCTACGATATCTGAGCAATTAAGCGAAAGAACGATTCCTTGATAGAAACCATGTTTGAAACACAACTAAAATTCCAGAACATTCTGGTCGAACATCGGTCTACTTCGAAAATTTCCGGGACCCTTCGGGTCATCAGTTACAAGTGACCGAAACACGCGCGAATCAGTTTAGGCTCAACCTCTCACCGTACAAGTCTAACTTGGGCAAATCACTTGTAGAAGTCTTACATCGCACCTCACCGAGTACAGTAGCTTCTTGAACCTCACCTAGCTTACTAGTAACCAAGTACATCACCAGTCTTTGTATGATCACCGTTTCGTTCAGTACATCAGCAAAATAATTAGTTAAAATTCAACTATTATCAGTGATTCAACTTTATTAAAATTGAAGACTATCAACAGTGACAATTTACCAGAGAGTGTATAAAATATTAACGACGTGGTTCGATCCCACGAATAAATAGTGATATTTTTATAATTAGTGCCATCATTAATTTTCCAGCATCTCCCTCCACATTTTTCTCCCACATCCACCCTGAAACAAGTTCCTCACCAAACAAACCATTCTTGTAGAACAAAAT